ATTTGAGGCCCATATCCTGTTAGTGAGCCCCACCCACAACTGAAGTTTACCATCAGGAGGTGGAGTTGAGAGAAACTTTAAGGGAACCAGCTTGGATGGGCAGAGTTGCCTTATCTGCAGAAATTTTTCGTCCTTGTGACAATTTCCCCCTTTATGAAAGGTGATTAAGCAATTTCTTCTGCAGCCGTCTAGTGACTCTCTGAACGAGTTTTTTTCTTTTCTGGTGAAGAAAAACAAAGTTGAATCCAGTCTTGATCTGTTACCTTTGAAGTTTGCAATGGGGATCACTCATTAAATGCAAGGTAAACATGTTCCTGAATGACACCTGTCCATTGAATAAATGAAGGACAGATGTCTTCAACTGAGAAGCACAAGTGTATTCTTTAGAACTAGGACAAAGTTATTAAAATATCAGGCTTGTTAGCTGAGTCAGTTGGTGAAGTAAGGGATGTGCATAAACATTTCCGTTGTTATGACTCAATGCAATGTAAGCAATGAACTGCTTTTTTACAGTGTATATTGTAGTATTGATAAATGACTTGATATAACACGGTAGTATCATGTCAGAAAAATATGAGGGTTGCCTAACCCCAAAGACTGGCCCAGATACTATGGGCAGGTCTTCACTATGGGGCGGGTCGATTTAAGATACGCAAATTCAGCTACGCGAATAGCGTAGCTGAATTCGACGTATCAGAGCCGACTTACCCCGCTGTGAGGACGGCGGCAAAATCAACCTCCGCGGCTCCCCCGTCGACGGCACTTACTCCCACCTCTGCTGGTGGAGTGAGAGCGTCGATTTGGGGATCGATTGTCGCGTCCTGACGAGATGCGATAATTCGATCCCCGAGAGATCGATTTCTACCCGCCAATTCAGGCGGGTAGTGTAGACCTAGCCTATGACTCTGTGAAATCCTCTTACTAAATACCTAAGACTCAGTTATGCCTATTATGAGGCAGAACTGTGCTGGAAAGAGGAAAGAGGCAGGTGCACCACCCAAGGATTATGGTCCTACTCAGGATTGCCCTATAATCACTTTATAGTAGCTAAACAGGTTCTGTGTACTCCACTGAAGAACTCCTGGCTCAGTCAGCATGTTGGCACAGCATAGAGTGGCAGGAGATATGACCTAATAAGCAGCCTTTCATCCCACTGTTCACCACTGCCATAAGCTCAGTACAGGCTATGATAATGGAGGGTATGAGTTAGAGCAGCTCTCATAGGTGCCCTTTGAAACTGACATGGTACTTGGCAGCTGCTGAATAGGGGAGGTGCAACCTATTTTCTCCTCTCTCATATACCAGTTTTACACTGGTGCAAATCCACTAACTTCAGTGAAATTACTAGTGATTCTTACCAATGTGAGAGAAAAATCAGCCCCAGTGCCTTTGGGTGCTAATGGGGAGAGGTGCCCCTAGCTACACATGTGCAATGGGAGCAGCCAGTGTTCCTGCCAATGTAATACCTTGGCATTCAGAACATGGGGCCAACTGCAGACCCCTCACCCTGTGCATACATGCTGCTTCCCTGGCTGTGGGCCACCCCAGGTACTACACTGCTGGGCACCAGCAGAAAAATGATGGCTGCCCCCCTGCTCGGGAGCACTCATGCGGGGGCTTTCTTGCAAGCTCTCCATTCCAGTGAAGCAGTTGTAAGTAACATATCACTCATATCATATCAGGAACAGGAAAGAGAGGGAACTTGGGAGCAGGCCATAATTTGGCTGCAGGCATTCAGGAATGCAAAGGCTTTGTAGTCTATATTGGTTCCACTTGGCTGGGTGTGAGTGAAAAATGTTGGCTTCTCTCCTGAGAGTGTCAAAGAGGGTGCCAATTAGGAGCAGTTGTGGTGGCAATTGTCCTGAGATCATACATGTCACATCACAGAATCTTTACTCTTCCTTTTTCTCCTGTTTTTGTTTCCCTCTTGCTCTGTGACTCACTTAATATCCAGAGTCTCTATCAAGGCCTGTTCTAGGGAAACAAAATAATCATCAATATACAAGAAAATAATTTAAATGCAGTGTCATGTGTTTAGCAAATCTATTTGTGTCTCAAAATTCTGTAAATAAACTCCATTTTTAGTTTCACATTGCGGGATTATTGCCCAACAGGTATTATTTGCTAATGGGAGGGCATCAGATGTAGCAGAACAGTTCTGGTGATAATTAAGCTTCTCCCTTTGGTATTTGCAATGGAGTTCATTCAGTTTTACTGTTTATATCCACCTCACGTAGGCTTTATGCAAACATAATTCATGTTAGAAACCAATTCAATAGACTGCTGAGCATTATTTCCCCACTAATACAGTACTACGGGCAACAAAACGCTGCTCTCCCTTTTGTAAAGGAGATGGGGCTGCCTCTAAACCTAAGTAACTTTTAAGAGGAGAATATAAATTAGAGTGAGTTGGCTATAACACTTGGGCTTGTCTGTGAACCAACACTGGTTCATGTGAACAGTTGACAGGCACAAAAACTGTTCAGCAATGTTTTTTTTTAAAAGGCATTTTTGCTCTCTCTGGACAGCTATTAAATTTCTGAATCTGTTCTTTGTGTTGTACTTCAAATTCTCAAGTTCATCAGGACAAGTCACATGCGTAGTACTGTCTCATATGGCCACATCTGGTTGCTCAACTTGTGTGAACTTCATGCAAACATGAACCCATCAAACCCATCCTTGCCTATGAGTTCATGCAAAATTCAAGCATGCCAAAGTGCATTACAATTGAATCTGAAACTTTACAAGCTTCAGGGCCTGCAAACCCATAACAACCAGTTTTGATGCAAAACAATACCAAATCTTTGTAAAACTCAGCTGTAAGTGTATAAATGGGATGACATGGTTTGAAAAAGGATGAGAAACCCTATTCTAGTCACATCCTTTTCTCAAATCCCATCCTTAATTATACTCCTTTCTGGAGTTATCCCAAGAGCTCTTTCTCTTTAAATCTTCTGACGTCAGAGATGCGAATCCATAGCAACTGTCTGTCACATTGGATCAGTCCATGAGGGAAGTGGAAAGTGGGAAAGAAATTGCTCCTGTGCAATCAAGGCTTCAGTGTGAGTAAATACAAGGGATGCATTTATTTTGTGACATTCTGGATGGATTTTTAAAGCAATATCGGCAGCAGCAAAAGGAAACTGCAAGTATTAAATCTCCTGTAATGTGCATAATATTTTATGTAGTGATTGCATTTAATAAGCTAGGTCAGTGGTTGCTGCAGCTGCTGTTCAGAGGGAATATTTTAAAGGCAAGAGGGAAGCTCAGATTATATACTGCCATGATGCATCAGAAACCCAGACTGGAGACAAAGTCTCAGTGCCTGGCAGTTTTCTTGATAATGTTAAATGATGCAGTCAGTATTAACGAACTATCTACAAACCCAGCCAATATGTAAATACTTCTTTTGTATAGAATTTCCTTAACCGTTTATGTAGAGATGTAGAGGGGCTGTCACCAGTTTGATGATGGCCCTTAAAAATTGTCATACCCACTGAAATAAAAGCATGCAACTGTTAATAAGATATGCACCACACTTAACATGTATCTAGGTGCATCTCTCACGCTAAGGGGTGAAGCTGGAGATGCTTATGTGCCAATGCAATGGCCAAAACAGCTTTAAACAGAGTTGCTATAGGCAAAAGTGGTGTAAAATCTGCATATGGGTACTCCCCAGCCTCCTGGGTGCCATGGAAGTCTGTGGTCCATGTCTGCAGATCAGCGCAGAGAGGAGGAATGTGGGCGTGACCATGGCATACGTTGCTGCGCCTTGAATTACCTAGCAGTAGATAGATATGGCTGGGCTGTGAGGATGCCCCAGGCCTTAATTTCTGGCTGAAGTGAGGATTCTACTCCTACCAACTCCACCCTGTTTTCTGAGTCCCCCCCCCCAGAATAAAGTGTTTACTTGGATTTTTCATGAGATATTAGAATGGTGTCCAAAATTACAAATGCATACAGCTGTGGTGTACTTTAGTAGACATGCCAGGTAGCAAATTAAATTTATATGGGGTGCTGAGCCAGAAAATAATTTATTGGCTCACCTGCATCTGTTTACACGTTTACAGCTCAGTGTTAGCCACCCAATTTAACTTGCATGTAGATGTTATGCATTAGATGCACAGGTGAAATTGTAGTTGCTGTTCTTCACCAGCCCTATGAAAGAAGACCGATATGGTGCACTAAAGAAAGCCTTTAGAGAGGTTCCCTGCTATATACCGAATGTGTATGCATGCATATGGTACCTTTTCCCTAACCTGAAGGAGAGTGCCGTGTGGCTCAAAAGTATCTCTCTTACTCCCAGAAATTGGTCCACTAAATATTTACCTCACCTTGTCTTGCTAAAAGCCTAGGAGTGACATGTCTACACCCCCATGCATATAGTTGCTACAGCTCTCCTAAACTTATTAAAGAGCTGTATGAATGTCATCACCCTCAACATGCCCAATATATGCATGGTAAATTATGCATGAAATTAAGAGTGTAGCATCACACCACACTTACTGCCCGCAGTGATAGAATGCCTTCAACAACACCCTAGGTGCTCTGCGTGGAATAAACATGGCCCCAGCTCCCTTCTACCTAATTGAATGCTCCCGGAATAGGCCCGTTACTATCCGTGGGGCTGAACGTTGAACCGTTTGTGCCATGAGGCACGTTAAACACGCATGTAGACGCTCTGCATTAATGAAGCCCCGGAGGGGTGACGTGCAGGGAGGGACGCGCCCCACTGTAAACGGGGGAGAGAGGCGCTCCGGATTAAACGTGTCGCGCGGGTGCGGGGCCCGCCGTCACGCCCGCAGGGGCTGCATTACACACGCCTGCAGCAGTAGCCCCCAGCCACATGGCGCAGCTTCGCGCGCGCACGGCCGGGCCACGCGGCGGCGGCGGCGGCTGCCCACTGCCAGTAGAAAGCCCGCTCTCCGTGCCCCGCAGCTGCCCCGCCCCTTGGACTGTACTATTCCACCTTGGGCCGTACCATCCTGCGGCAGCGGCGCGGGGGGGCGGAACGGCTGCTGCAGCCCGGGCGGAATTAGCGGAGGCAGGCGCAGCAGGCGCTGCTGGTTTGTCGGCGCCCAGCTCGGAAGGCGCGGCTCCCCCGTCTCTCGTCTTCCCTCCTCCTTCCCCCCCGCCCGCTGGGCCATGCGCGGTCCCGCCCGGCGTTAGGAGCGGCCCGGAGCGCGGTTGGCTGGCTGGCAGGCAGGCAGCTCCCTCAGGTAAGCGGGACCCGCGGCCTCCCCTGCCCGCCGCCGGGCCTGGGCAGCGACTCTCCCCACGCAAGGACCCAAGGGGGGCTGCCAACTGGGGCGGGGCGGTGGTGGCGGCTGCTGTCCCCCCCCCTCCCCCCAGCGGTGGCCGGGCCTGGTGTGGTGCGCGCGCAGAGGCCTGCGGAGGGGCTGCGGCGCCGGGAGCTGGGAGGGGGGGCTGATGTGGCGGCCCCTAAGGGGAGAGTGAGTGTGTGTGTGTGTGT